TAAGACAACCTTCTACTGTAGCCCCTGCTTCTTAAAAGTTTTATATAGAAATAGCACAGTATCCACTTGTGTTCACTTTTTATTTTATTTTTTATACATAGATATAACGATGAGTTCAGATAAGTACTGATTTGTTTAAGCCACACATATATACCCGTCCCTGTACCCCTGGACACAAAATGCATGCTAACTATATTTTTCAACGGAAATAGGACATATCTACTGTGGAGAGACAAACTGAGTTATTTAACTGTTAAACATATTCTAATCATATCGCTTAATATATATATTTGGACTTGTGGCTGTAAAATCCGTCATTCCCATTCTTGACTCTTACATATATTTTCGACATTGAGAGATGAACGTTAATATAACTGTATTTCGTTTGCATTCTAATTATACATCGTAGTTACACATCATAATGCATGGTTGTATATGTGACTACATGGCCCCATTAAGAAGTCATCTGTGACATCTTATTCGGTTGTTATGTCCGCTTTTACAGAATTTTGAAAAACAAAAGTGACCTAGTATTTACAGACCTGAATTGGGAATTAATCTGGTAATGTCATACATCCACCTGTTACCCATTCACCTATAGGCATACTAAGGATAATAGTTTATATCTGAGGTATATACCATTGACTAATTGATTAATAGGTGGTTACTTAACGTCCATCCGCAAATATTTCATGCATGTTCGGGACAAGAACAAATTAACAATAAATTAAATAGATGGGTCCGGTAATAGAGATCGTCCGGCATGAAGTTCGGGGAAATTTGGACTGCCACTGGAAAATGAGGGTATATTGTATTGCTTCAGAAATTTGGTCTTACATCAGGCCACCTCAAAGAGTTGTTGCAAGCAAAGATGGGTCTTATTACTTTCTATGTAATTGATTATATCAAAACTACTTTGTCAATTGTAGGATTAAATTAAATTCATTATTACACCATTTCTCAGAGTATTTAATTAAATTAATGATTATATTAGAAAAGTAATCATAATTACATCTGATTACAATGAATTTCAAATAATCGAAAAACAAAGGATATGTGCTTTCCATCCATGACACAAAATCGATACATGCACAGCAAAAACATACAAAACCGATTTAAATGATGCTATTGAAGAAAAGCTATTACTGTAGCACTTATTGAGAAAGGATTTTATTTGATTTGTCATAAGACAATAACCTCAAACTTCATCAATTTACTAAATCACACAGATTCACAACATATATACTTGAACATTTTGTCACTGGTTATGGCCCAATACACTTTATCATCATTAATCTCTGAGATGTTTGAAATTTTAGTCTCCATCTGTCTGGTCAGAAAAATTATCCACCAATACTAAAAAGTCTTTCCACAGCCACAGAGGATGCTTATATGGGAAATATTTCCAGGCCAGCTTCGACAATTGTGGATATGCACTGTCTAGATTTCCAAAATTCTAAAGGGTCACACGCCATATCTACAAGTGGTTCATATAAGTAATCCTCTACCTTAAATTCCATTTAGAATGGTGACGTTACTTGGTGTAGCAGGAGAGTCAAGAAGGAAAAAAATCTGTTTAGCTTTCTTTTTTGGACGTGACAGAGAGTCATCATCCTTTTCCATATTGTTGTCTTCTAAACTCATTGCTTTATCTTTCAGTACATGTTCACAATCATTTCGGTTTTGTTCACACAACTGTATTTTAAAACGTGGGTCAAGATCAGTTGCAAGAAGGAAAGGTTCATTTTCTTCATGTTTGGATAAAATTGAGAATAGACTTTTTAGATAGATTTTGTTAATTTTGCAACTATTTTGTTGTTATACAAAAATACCAAACATTCTTTAGATGTTGATATGTTTGCTGTATGCCATCTCTGTATGACCAGCTCCAATGTACGTGCATGGTAAATGAAATTACAAGTGATCAAAATGTTCTTGTGTATTAGAGTTGTCATCAGTGTTCTCATCGTCTTCATCATTACTACTATCTTCAGAATGAACTGTCACAAATGCATTCCCTGGAAATGGCATGTCATATGTTTTCAGCATATTTGATACATTATCAGTAACAGTACATAAAACCTTGTTAACCAGATGAAAACTTTCTTTATGACAAGCAATTTCTACCTACATTTTATCAACATATAATGATGTCCTCATAAAACAAGTTTCAAAGAATAATCCATTAAAATAGCATTTTGTTGGTATCAAATACAATACATTTTATATCAATATTTTATAATAATTTAATTTTGGATGTAACGCGTCTTCTGATTGGCTGACGTTGTCTTGTTTATTAGCTCATAGACATAATTTTGTCATGTGACCGTGACGTCATCAACGTTTTTTCATGGTTTACTACGGTTTAAAATGGAATTTAGAATTAAATTACAACTATAACATAAAAAAATGTGGTGCACACTTTAAAATAACACGCTACGCGGGTTATTCAGTGTGCACCACATTTTTAATGTTATTTCTTCATAGACAGAAAAAATATTACAGTCATTCCTTAAATATCTTTAAAAATTTATAAAGTAAACAAACCTATCATAACAAGTTATATATTAATTAATTAGATATAGGAAGATGTGGTATGAGTGTTAATGAGACAACTCTCCATCCAAGTTACAATCTATAAAAGTAAACCATTATAGGTCAAGGTACGGCCTTCAACACGGAGCATTGGCCCATACCGAACAGCAAGCTACAAAGGGCCCCAAAAAATTAAACACGAATGACATAAATGTTCATTTAAGATATAAAATATTGACCATAAACACTAGTTGATATTTTTTTCCATTTTAATCAGAATGTAATCAAAAAGAAATCAGGGTTACAAGGTATTTTGAAAAATAATTGATTAAATTAGATATGATCAGATTTTTGGCTGCTTTATATTTACAATGATTATTTGAAAAAATGGTCTCGATTACAACTGATAAATGATTACATTTACAATGACCCAAAGTCTTTTTACCAAGGTTCTTAACGTACAGAGAGCTTGGCACTGTCTACACGAGGCATATGATTTAACGTCCCGTCCCCATTTTGATCAGATGTGACTATGTACTTGTAAACCCCACAAAGACAAACGGACGCCCCACTTTAGAAAGGATTGTATTGCCGGTTGGAAGAAGATCAAGAGTGACCATATTTCTATTTCCCATTCACCCTTGGTGCTATACCATTGACGTGGCAGCCATATCATACCCCACTTCACATGCTGTTTTATATTTCACCCTGTTTTTACTTTGATAAAAAAAACAAACATTAGGCTAGTAATAGTTTCATAACAGCACATTTAGATTAGATATATGGACATGAGTTGCAGATTGGACGACCTGTTGTCATTACAATTTACCTGGAGCAGATTGAAAAAAGTAGGGCAGACTGTTCAAATCATTACTTAAGGCAGGTCGGCTGTGAATGGGTGAAATATTTTTTCCGATTGGCTTACATGTACTAGCTATAGTATAAGAGGAATTATTATTTTTTTTTTTATTAGTGTTTAATTACCATTGTGTACAATGCTATTGGGTGCGAGAATAGCTGTCGCTAAGTACTGTACTTGCCACTGGTTTATTTATGTTGATCATCTTGCTTTGGTTTGATTACCCGTAGTGTCCATTCCTGCTTGTTTAAGACATTTGATTCAAGATGAGCACTTTATTTCCGGAAGGCAGTAATGGTACCCTTTTCCTCAACCCCCCTGCCCATATCGTAAACTTGGATATGTATGATGGCTCGTTACTATACATTTTTCACATATGTGTTTTAATTTTCGAGACACGAATTGAGATTCGTTTTTCCGTAATTAAGCATACCCGGGAAAGCACTTTATGATGCGGCTTCACGAGTTAAAAATTTCTTTTTTTCACACAAAAAGCTCTTGAAAAATTTAAATCTTTGCATACTTTTAATAATCCAGTTTTTACATCTTTATTCTAAGGTCCTCTGCTCTTCAAATCATCACACATGGTTAACCAAGTCACTTGTTAAAAATTTAGAAATGGTCAATATCACTGCCCAGATATTTTTTGTTAATGCACTATTTTCAAATTCCCCAATTTGAGGCGCATTAGTGATATTGACTCATTTAAAATATAAAAATCCATTCTTTTTCTTAAGCTTTTTTGTATATTTTGGCCTTTCATTTGTTTGGTCCGAGTGCCCTTGACATTTCATACAAAAAATGCATTCTTTCTACATATTACTAAATTGTTACTGTCGTAAAATAACAGAAGACCAAAATGAGTAGGAAATAACGTTAAATGAACTTTTCCAAAAACCAAACGAAGTATTTGCAAAATCTTCATCTTGCCCTGATTTTTATGTTGTTGACTACATTGGTACAACATACACTCAATGGGGAAGAAGCAACTGCACCGCAAACGAGACTGAAACAGTTTATTCAGGTAAATGTAGATAGATAATACACTGAACAAAACAACGATTAAATGAAATGAATGAAAGTTTCAAATTCAAATTGACATGTTAAAAGTAAAATGTACCGAAAGTATCTTAAATTTATGTTATTATGTTATACATATGTATGTATTTAAGAATAATAAAATATGTCAGTACTTAAGGTCTTTAATTTAATAAGAATATAAAAGTGTTAAGTTGTGCATGTGAGTATCAATTCTTGTGTTTTAGTTGAGCTAAAATAGAAATTAAAGACCACTGTTGTATATATAATATCGTAAACCTATTGAGTAGCATCTTAAAATAAATTGTAACTTGGATGGAGAGTTGTCTCATTGGCACTCATACCACATCTTCCTATATCTATTGACTATATAACTAAATAAAGGCAACAGTAGTATACCGCTGTTCGAAATTCATAAATCGATTTAGAAAAAAAACAAATCCGGTTTACAAACTAAAACTGAGGGAAACACATTAAATATAAGAGAACTACGACACAACAGAAACGAGAAACATAAATATTTTAATTGAGCAAGATACATCTGCATATTTGTCATATTTTCATTTAGGATTTGTTGGAGGTTCAGCTTACACAAGATCCGGATCAGCTGTCAACATTCTTTGTCTAATCAACGATCCACAATGGGGGATTTACGATTCAAAGGTTAACGACCTTCCTTTCATCAGAGGGGCACTGTTTGATGTTTATGATATAAATGTTCCAAATTCACCGTTTGACTTCGAAAAGTATGAAAACCATAGAGTTCCTTGTTCAGTCTGCATGAAGAAAAAGAAAGCTTCGACAATTATGATCCCTGCAAGAAAAGATTGTCATGGCAACTGGGTGAAGGAATACGATGGATATTTATATGCTGGTCATCCTTCCCATTCAGCAGCAACTGAATATATATGTCTAGACAAAACACCAGAGGCTTTAGATAAATCCCCAAACTATACTGATAAAATGCTGTGTCCACCGTATGTAAACGGAAGAGAGGTTACGTGTGTTGTCTGTTCTCGTTAGATTTTCAAATACAGCACATGCACAAAAAAATCGTTAACAATTTATTAAGTGTAAAACACTTGGGGAAACCGTGTATTTCCGCTTGGAGAAACTTTTTGATTTCTGATAGAATGGAAGTTATGATAATAAAAATAAAATAAAATCAAGGCCTGTTTTGATTAATTGATTGATTGGTGTTAAATGCATTATTGTGCTATTTCTTGTCGTTCAGTTTTTTATTGCTGCAAGAAGCTGGAGTGCCTGTCAATGCCCAGAGATCTGTACACATATTAACCATAATATACAAAGTATATACAGCTTATGGTACACAAAACATAATTCCAAAATGTCTCCTATAATTTCTTTAAAAAACTAAAGTGGAGGTATTCTTGTAGTTACGAAAACTCATTTAAAATATTACTTTTAAACGATCTCGAGAGCGGAATTATAAAAGTAATTGATTGTTCAAGTCAAATGCCAACTTCATTTTGAGCTCTTAAAGAACAATTCATATCACAAGATTGACTAACCAATGAACAAAACACGTGCAAAATGCATAAGGACATGCTGATTATATTCAGTCTTTTCAGATGTATCATTTGGCAATAGCCTGATTCACTGTCTTTCGTTAAATTTTCAATGTCTGGGATAATACATATAGAATAATCTCATTTTTGTTTTTGATACTGACTGTATCAGCAAGTGTATCAAGCAAGCCCGAGATGAAGTCAGTATACAAAAATGAAATGGTATTTTTTTTTTTCGCCAATATGTCTTAACTTTATATTTTGTTTCGGTTGAGAATATGAAATAAAATGGAATTGTAAGTAAAACTAATTTCACGTGTGCAAAATGTGATAGTTGTTCGGTTTTGTGAATGTTGTCGCGTGCATTTAATCGACAACTTGACGAGGACAGACGTGTAAACGTGACATCATTGCAAATATTTTCGCATCAATCAAATATTCAGCAGTAAGATCAAAAGACAAAAGAACAAATTGCAGATACCAGTCTTAAATAATGATACTTCCAAAAATCAACTGAGTCAAAGTCAGATTGTCATATACGTATACGCTCGTGCATGTTCACACTATACGGACTTCATCACCGGTGGTGTGCTTCTGTAACAAAACTGCTTCAACAGAGTCATGAGGTAAATTCGACACTACAAATTGTTGAACGATACGATATGTTTGTGTCTCACGTCACTAGCGACAAAATATGTTAGTTTACCGATTTTGTCGTACTCCCAATTGTGACATTTTGACTGAGTGTTGATTCGCATTGCGGATGATGCATGCCTAGTAGGGAACGCTCAATTTGTCTAGGCTCCGGGGTTAATACTACTGTTTTGAAAGATGTTGTTCCTTGAAGATAGTTTTGTATATGTTAATGACATGCTCTCCGCAAATTTGACACGCTGAGCAGTTTTGTCGCACTAACCAGCTGCATTTCTGTTAGAATCTATGGTAGCCGGGATGATTTCAACTTTCCATCTCAGCCGTAACATACGCGTTGGCTCCATTTTATGTTTGTTTATATTGATTATTAATATGACAGTTCAGCATAATGAATTAATTTCTTCATATGCCATACATGTGCGTTTAACCTATTTGAGAAAGGAAAAACAATCTATTTTAAGTTCATCAGTAAAAGTAAGAAAGTGTTGTATAATTGTCAATTAGACAGCTTATCACCCGAGACCAATTGATATAGAAGTAAGCACCTGTAGGTCACCGTACGGCCTTCGACAATGAGCAAAACCCGAACCGCGTAATCAGCTAAAAAGGGCTCCGACATGACAAATGTATAACAATTAGAATGAGACAACTCTCCACCAGAGAACGAATGACAATGAAAACATATATAACATGTACAAACATCCCACAGATAACATTTCGCAAATTTTTTTTAACTACCTATCTACCATATATTATAACGGATGTAACCATAAATAGACAATTATTAGGGCCCCGCCAAATGGCGGGTCGCACTATTGTGATCAGTCTGTCCGTCCGTCCGTCCGTAACAAATTGTGTCCTCTCTATATCTAGAGAACCGTTATAATTTCATACTTTATACTTGACATGTATATTAACCAAGACCAGTGGGTGTATCATAATGTTTGTACAACTTCCTAGGTCAAAGTGCAAGGTCAAAAACTTTGGTTTCAGTTGACCAACCCATGTCCTATGGTAAAGATCGTGTCCGCTCTATATCGAAAGAACCGTTATAATTTCATACTTTATACTTGACATGTATATTAACCAACACCGGAGGGTGTGTCATAATGCATGTACAACTTCCTAGGTCAAGGGTCAAGGTCAAAAACTTTGGTTTCAGTTGACAACCCCATGTTCTATGGTAAAGATCGTGTCCGCTCTGTATCTTGAGAACCGTTATGATTTCAAAGTTTATACTAGACATATATATTAACCAACACCAGAGGTTGTGTCATAATGCATGTACAACTTCCTAGGTCAACGGGCAAGGTCAAAAACTTTGGTTTCAGTTGACAACCCCATGTCCTATGGTAAAAATACAAATTTGTTATTCACAGTGGGGCCCACGGAGATGGCTCCCATCTTAATGATGTCTAGTTTTGCCAATACAAAATACTTGGGAGATATATATGCAAGTAAATTTTATAAAATATTTATGCTATTTTCTTTAATTTCTAATTTTTATTAGCCAGTCGACGAAGAAATGTATTATGGTGTACTTTGCATCCTTCCGTCCATTAACATCTTGGAATTATAACTCAAATTTTCTTTAACTAATTCTCGTATTATTTCAACACAACGTTTGGATTAAATGATTGATTAATAGCGTGTTGCTCAACGTTCATTGTCAAAAATTGTATGCATGTTCGAGACGAGAAACAATCACCTATATATACAATAGAGGTCGTCCAGAATAAAGGTCGGGGAAATTTGGACTGCCACTGTAAATATAAGGGTAAATAAGATATGGGAAGAAATTTGGTTTTGCAACAGGCAAGGAGACCCCTCAAAGAGTTGTTGCAATGGTTTTTAACATACAGAGAGCGTGGCTCTCTTCCTAAACGAGGCATTGGATTTTACGTCCCCCATTCTGACCATGCAGACGTGATTGCGTACTTGTACATCCTGCACAGCCAACCATTTTAGTAAGGGTTATAGTGCCGGTCGAAAGACCAAGAGTAACCATATTTAGCAGTTCAACCTTTAGAAGTAGTAAATAAGCAGCCTGGTGAATCTCATTCAAAGTTTGTACGATCGCGGAAAATAATTAAATTAAATTGGATTAAAAAATTACAGACAGTCTACCCTCTCGGTCTTAATGATAATATCATGGGAATTGGTAATATATCAAGAACCGATTCTGTTAACATTTTGGATATAGTTTCTAAAACTGTTCGTAAAACCCGTTCTCATGGTCGTAGAAAAAATCGCAATCAAAGAGAATTTCGGACCAATCATACCAATATTTCGGATCTAATTTCTATTTCAAAAAACAACGGCAGACATTATCTGTTAACAAAGCTCTGTTCATTACCGGTTAATAAGTTAAATAAAATTTTAGAGGATTGCAACACAATTTCATATAGCAGTCCTAAGTATGAAATCGTTCAAATTATAATGGCATATTGTTATTCTAAACTGTTTCCCAAAATTGATCGCCCTGAAGATCATAAAAAACATAAAATAAAGTATGTCAATAAAGGTTTTGATTTTGTAAATATTGCCGGTATTTTTAACGACCATTCTGTTAAATTCCGGGATATTTTGATAATACTGAGCTCCCTCTTATTTGTTATATTTACAAGAAATCTACCCGGAAATTTGTGTTTAATTATAGCCAATTATGTAAAAATGTTAATATCAGTGAAAATACACCTACTTCATGTAATTGCAGTAATTCCGAATACATTTATGGACCCATTTCCCATGTTATAACAGGAGATCTTAACATCGTTCAAGACCGAGAGTTAAAATCATTCCTCAGTAAAGGACCTAAATATCGTCCCCCGTCAATTATTAATTGGAATGAGTGTCGTAATATCATCCACGACTCACTCCATACTTACTGTTTAAAATGGATAAAACGGGAAAAAGCTGACAAAAAATCTTTGGACTCTTTTTTTAAATCAGTAATGAACATAGTTGATATACGTATTCAACATTTTAAAGAACATTTTACTCATAACAATAACCACAATAACCCTATTTCTCGTATCAAACATAAACTAAAAGAACTAGCCAAGGAATTTGTTTTTGTCCCGGCCGATAAAGCTGCTAATAATATTATTATTGTTTGACGTAAATTTTATATTGAGGTTCTGAAAAAAGAAATCACCAATTCACCAACATTCCAACTGACTCCATTTTCAGAAAACGACATCTGTAACAAACATAAACTTTTAGCTATCGCTTTACAAGCAGAACCAAATACAATGAAAGTCCCAACTATGTATTGGCTTCCGAAGCTACACAAAACACCTTACAAATATAGATTCATTTCGTCTTCAAGCCATTGTTCCACTACTAAATTGTCTATTCTTCTTACCAGTACACTTGGTACAATCAAAAACCTGATAATAAATTGTTCAAATAAGGCATTCGAAAATAGTGGAATTAATTACTTTTGGAGTGTCAAGAACTCGTTGGAAGTACTTGATAAATTGCATGCATATATTGGTGATTTTGAATCTGTTCAAAGTTTTGATTTTTCTATCCTATATACCACATTGCCTCATATTCTCATTAAGAAAAAATTCACACACCTAATTAAATGGGCATTTAAAAAGTCAGAATGTGAATATATATGTTCAAACTCTTTTAGGTCATTTTTTAGTAGCAATAAACAAAAAAACTATGTCAATTGGACATGCTTTGATACTATATATGTCCTTGAATTTTTACTAGATAACATTTTTGTTCGCTTTGGAGATTCCGTATATCGTCAGGTTATCGGAATTCCAATGGGGACTAACTGTGCACCACTTATTGCGGACCTTTTTTTGTATTGCTATGAGTTAC